TCTCCCCCAGCGGCTTCACATAAATATTGAACAAAAGGGGGGAGAGGACCGACCCCTGAGGCACCCCGCAAGTTAGGGGTCTAGGAGTCGACCTCTGTCCCCCTGCCAATACAGACTGCGTACGGTCGGTGAGGAAGGAGAACCACCGCATAACGGTGCCTCCCACTCCTAACCCACCGAGACGCCGCAGCATGATACCATGGTCTACAGTATCAAAAGCCGCTGAGAGGTCCAAAAGAACAAGGACAGTGGAATACCCTCTGTCCCGGGCCCTCCAGAGATCATTAACCAACGCGACCAATGCTGTTTCCGTGCTGTGCCCCGGCCTGAAGCCCGACTGGTATGGGTCTAGATAGACAGTTTCATCCAGGTGCCGGGGGAATTGCTGTGCAACCACACTCTCAACAACCTTCGCCGTAAAGCGAAGGTTGGAGACTGGGCGATAGTTAGCCAACTCATCTGGGTTCAGGGAAGGCTTCTTGAGGAGGGGTCTCACAACGGCCTCTTTAAGGGCCGCAGGGAAGACACCCTCCTGCAGAGAAGCGTTCACAATTCCCTGGAACCAGGCTCGTGTACCCTCCCGAGCTGCCAGTACCAGCCAGGAGGGACATGGATCCAACAAACATGTGGTTGCATTGAGCCTCCCCAGGACCCTGTCCACGTCCTCGGGCGAAACTCCCCAGGACCCTGTCCACGTCCTCGGGCGAAACTATTGTCTGTCTGTCTGTCTATCTATCTATCTATCTATCTATCTTCTAGCTAGCTATCTATCATGTATCTATCATCTATCACCTCTCTCTCTCTCTCTCTCTCCCTACCGATCTATTTATCTATCTCAGTGATGGCGAACCTTTTAGAGACCGAGTGCCCAAACTGCAACCCAAAATCCACTTATGCATCGTTGGGTGCCGGGTGGGTGTGGCCCATTGGGTGGGTGTGGCCCATTGGGTAGGCGTGGCTGCGGTGTAACGGCAGACTGGGTGGGACTAAAAAGTTCAATCAATCAATTCCAACTTTGCAAGATCTTTTTTTTTCCCGCGAGAAGTTGAAATTGACTGATTGATTGAACCTTTTTTTTTTTTTTGCACACGACGGCGGAGGCCTAAAGCGAAAAGCTTTTATAAAACCCAGCTGAAGGCCTAGGACTGGGGCGACGGCGCGCGTGCCCACAGAGAGGGCTCTGAGTGCCACCTCTGGCACCCGTGCCATAGGTTCGCCACCACTGATCTATCTGATTAGCACTGATGATGTTACCTAGCTGGGTAATGAAACGTCTGCAAGAAAACAACCAAGCTCAGAGAGCACCAAGGACCCCTGATTTCAACTCTGGGCTACAGATATTCTCCTTTATTGGCGTCTGTCATCATCTTTATTATTTTACAAACAACTCAAGGTGGCAAACATATCTAACTCAACTTCCTCCTCCTACTTTCCCCACAACAATCCTGTGAGGCTAGTTGGGCTGAGAGTGACTCAAGACGGAAAGAAAAGCTAGACATCCAGTCATACGTATACACTACAGTGCTACAGTGTTCGTCCAGAGGTTGCTGTAGAATTTGATGACTGAATCTGATATGATTATAGAAACATTTGTGTATTTTTATTCTTGCTATTAGGTATATGTGCGCTGCGTATTCTTTTATGTTTGTTTAAACAGAAAGAGGTCACTTTAAGTTATATAATTGTTATTCCGACTGATTAGAAAAATATTCACGTGTATATTTTTATGCTTGGTTTGATTTCAAGAGGCCACTTGAGACTATGTATTTGTCCAAACGTTTCAAGTCAATTTTTAAAAATGTTTTTTCCCCTGTCACTTTTTAACATTTCCCCGTTTTGGAGTCCCTCCCCCTCAATCTTTATTTTTCTACTAGCTGTACCCGGCCACGCGTTGCTGTGGCTCAGTCTGGTAAAAGCGTGTGTTGCTTTTACGTCCAACGGATGGCGCTGTTTTTTTTTTTAAAAAAGCATGTTTTTACCTGTCACAGGTGTGACATCTATAGAATAGTAGGTATATAAAAACACGGGCGTATTCGAATGCAACGTTGTGTCAAAATTTCAAAGCAATCGGTGAAGAACTTTCGGAGATTTAAGATTTTGAACAAACGAACATTTACATTTTTATTTATATATAGAATTATTTTGTGTTTTCGCTCTCTTTATAATAAAGTTGACCGGAAACAAAATGGATGGAAATCACCTAGCACAAGCAGCTTGTTTTTTTTTCTAAAATGTTTTTATTTCATTGTCTAAATAGTCACAATGATAAATATATTTCATCGCTACATCCAGTATCTCATTCAAACAGAGAGTGATGGTTGCAAGGACTAGAACAGGTGTCTTCAAACTTGGCCCTTTGATGACTTGTGGACTTCAACTCCCAGAATTCCTCAGCCAGGCACACGTGCCTGGCTGAGGAATTCTGGGAGTTGAAGTCCACAAGTCATCAAAGGGCCAAGTTTGAAGACCCCTGGACTAGAAGCTGAACATGCATTGATGGATCAGGAAAACAACAGTTGTAAACTGATAGTAATGACTGCTTTTTCTATTATAAGTAAAATCAAACAGGAACAACACCCTACCTCCTGGTACGCTATCTTTAGAGTGATTTTAAAACACATTGTCTAGACTGGTGTTTCTCAACTTTGGCAACTTTAAGAAATGTGGACTTCAACTCCCAGAATTCCCCAGCCCACCCTGCAGGGAATTCTGGGAGTTGAAGTCCACACATCTCAAAGTTGCCAAGGTTGAAAAAAACAACAACAACACTGCTCTAGACGGACAACATATGACCAGATTGTCATACGTCAATTGTCCTATGTGGCTGGTTACGCAATCCTCATAAGCCAGAACTGGTCAAACAGGGATAAAACGAGAAGACTGGGTCAAATCTTTTGAGCATTTCAGGGGAAAAATGGAACCATGGCATTATGACTGGATATTTTAAGGGACAATAAATGAATTCATGGCATTATGACTGGATATTTTAAGGGACAATAAATGAATTCATGGCATTATGACTGGATATTTTAAGGGACAGTAAATAAACCCATGGTGTTATGACTGGATATTTTAAGGGACAATAAATGAATCCATGGCATTATGACTGGATATTTCAAGGGACAGTAAATAAACCCATGGCATTATGACTGGATATTTCAAGGGACAGTAAATAAACCCATGGCATTATGACTGGATATTTTAAGGGACAATAAATGAATCCATGGCATTATGACTGGATATTTTAAGGGACAGTAAATGAACCCATGGCATTATGACTGGATATTTTAAGGGACAGTAAATGAATCCATGGCATTATGACTGGATATTTTAAGGGACAATAAATGAACCCATGGCATTATGACTGGATATTTTAAGGGACAATAGCCCCTTTTTTCCAAAACTCAGTTTTAGAAGGCAAAACTTTTTCCAGGCTGGGATGCCTTTATTGCTTGCACCAGGTTCTCTATTTTTAAAAACAAGATCTTTCCTCCGTTCCCACCTCAATCTGCAGCCTTCTCGTGCCAGCCTAAGCACTCTTAGGTCCCGGCACAAGATGGGTGCAGGGGCTTCACTTTGGCATGTCTGGAGAGGCCGAGCCGGAGACCCTGAACCGGTGACTTAACCGGAGCTCTTCCCAACAAGGTGGTCTTGCTTCCAGATGCACCTGAAAACAAATGCAAAAACACTACGTCACAACAGATTCTGGGGGGCTTTCTTAAGACACCCAGATCCTGGGTGATGTAGTCCTTGGCTTACAGCCAAAATTGCACCTGGAATTGTGGTTATTAAGCGGGGGTCATCACGTGACCGCGCCCGATTTTACCAACCCTTTTTTGCAGCAGCCGTTCATCAAGTGTGAGAAACACAAAGCACACACCACGATAATAATAACGATGATAATAATAATAATAAAGTTGGAAGGGACCTTGGAGGTCATCTAGTCAGGCAGGAAACCCTATACCATTTCTGACAAGCCATTTCTGTTAAGCAAATTTGTTGGCTGCAACGGATGCCTTTTTGCCAGAAACCACAAGCAAATGAGAGTTTCTGGAAACAAAAACAGGGTCCATCGTGGTCACTGGGACACTGCAAACAGCCATAAATAAGAGCAGCTGCTGAGCACACCCAAAATCTGATCACATGACTGGGTGTGTGGGCACCCCCCCAAAAGCTGTCAGAATGTCAAATTGGGTTGTATTTTTTCCCAGGGGGGGGGAAGCACTGTAAGTTCTTTTTTTAAAAAAAAATATATATATATTTTTTTTTACCGTTTACAGTTCATAAGTGCTTAATAAACAATGTGTCGTCCCACAGCTGTATCTGATCTGGGGGAGGCAACAGTCTTGGTTTCTGGTCCAGCTGTACTCCATCCTCTGGAGTGAAAAATGCCTCATACAAATTCCTTTCCATGTCCCAGGATGCTTTCTTTCTGAACTGAGATGCCCAGGCAGACAGAAGCTGGGACATCCCCAACCAGTGTGAACATACCTGGGGGTGTCCAGCTGGGCTTCTTGCCCACTGAAGGGCTTGAGGTCTTCAAAGGCTTCCCAACGGATTCCGAAGGACTGAATTCAATTTCCAAATGTGGCTGAGAGTTTTCCTGATCTAATCACGAGAAAGACAGAACAGTAACAAATGGACGGATGGCTACCAAATAAATCCTCCCTTTAATTAATGCAGATTAATTGCACACCACCCTTGCCCAGACTGCACGACTATATTGATGATAGGAAACTCCAGAGAGGTGGTTTTAACAGAAAGCTTCACAGCAACGTAGTAAATATTTTAACGATACCACGCTCGTTTTATTCTGGCTGGAGGCCCTTCCTGGCGCCACGTGGAATGAATGAATGGATGACAGGGCCGTTAAAAAGGGAGACTATACATATGTGTAGTCAAGGCCATGGTTTTCCCAGTTGCAATGAATGGCTGTGAAAACTGGACCATAAGAAAGGCTGAGAAAGGCCAAAGAATGGAGGCCTTTGAACTCTGGTGCTGGAGAAGACTCCTGCGAGTCCCCTGGACTGCAAGGCGATCCAACCGGTCGGTCCTAGAGGAGATCCACCCCGACTGCTCTTTAGAAGGCCAGATCCTGAAGTTGAAACTCAAGTCCTTTGGCCACCTAACGAGAAAGAAGGACTCCCTGGAGAAGAGCCTGATGCTGGGAAAGATGGAGGGCAAGAGAAGAAGGGGACGACGGAGAATGAGGTGGCTGGATGGAGTCCCTGAAGCAGCAGGCGTGAACTTCAATGGACTCCAGAAGATGGCAGAGGACAGGAAGGCCTGGAGGAACGTTGTCCATGGGGTCGCGATGGGTCAGACACGACTTCGCAACTAACAACAAATACATGCTTGTTTCATTCTGGTCTGCAGAAAAACCTTTTTCTAGAATAGAATTCTATTTACTGTGCTAGCTCACAATTATTCAGAGGTGGATGTTGTGTGTGAAATTGCTGAGTTTAAAAATGCGGTGAACTACAAGGGTCACGTGGATAGTTACAGTCAGGCATTCTCAAGTAAGACGAGCAAATGCAATTTAAGAGAAAAGAGGGAGGGGGGACCCAAAAGACAAAATTAGGGCATGATATTAGGGAAAGGATGCTGCATGTTCCCCCCCCCCTCAGGTCAATCTTACTGGCCCGGAGGTTTTCAACGTTGTCCGTCTCCGGTGTGGATATCACAACTTCCTGTTTGAAATCTTGAGCGGCTGCCTTTGGTTCAGCAAGGCGATCTGGAATTGAAATCAAACGGTGAGGACGATGCTTCAGAAGAAAAAAAAGAGAATCATAGGCTATGTTGTCTCATAAGGAAGACTCTTTGTGGCTTCTGATGGGCTGTTCTTGCATTCTGGAGAGGGCACCTACACCCCATACAAGGGCTCAAACTGTCTCACCCACTTTCCCTTCACTGAAAAAAACCACTATCACTCTGACAGTAAACCGAATTGCACCTGTCTTTGCTAAACGTCACTGGGAATTTAGGTAAAAGAAATAAACTGTAGGGTTTACAGGCACCCCAGACACTAGAGCTGTGGACCACTCAAAATGAAATTAGCTCGTATAGAAGTTGACCAATGAATAATAATAATAATAATAATAATAATAATAATAATAATAATAAAGTTGGAAGGGACCTTGGAGGTCTTCTAGTCCAACCCCCTGCTCAGGCAGGAGACCCTATACCATTTCAGACAAATGTCTGTCCAGTCTCTTCTTGAAAACTTCCAGTGTTGGAGCATTCACCGCTTCTAGAGCAGTGGTGGCGAACCCATGGCATGGGTGCCAGAGGCGGCACTCTCATTTTTCCTTTAGGTCAGGGATGTCCAACCTTGGCGATTTGAAGCCTTGTGGACTTCACCTCCCAGAATTCTGGGAATGGAAGCCCATAGGTCATTGGTGGCGGACCTATGGCACGGGTGCCAGAGGCGGCACTCAGAGCCCTCTCTGTGGGCACGCGCGCCGTCGCCCCAGTCCCAGGCCTTCAGCTGGGTTTTATAAAACCTTTTCGCTTTAGGCCTCCGCTGCCGTGTGCCAAAAAAAAAAAAAAAAAAGGTTCAATCAGTCAATTTCAACTTCTCGCAGGGAAAAAAAAGATCTTGCAAAGTTGGAATTGATTGATTGAACTTTTTAGTCCCACCCAGTCTGCCGTTACCACTGCAGCCACGCCCACCAAATGGGCCATGCCCACCCGGCACCCGACGATGCATAAGTGGGTTTTCAGTTGCAGTTTGGGCACTCGGTCTCTAAAAGGTTCGCCATCACTGTTCTAGAGGCAGGTTGTTCCACTGGTTAACTGTTCTAACTGTCAGGAAGTTGCTCCTTAGCTCTAGGTTGCTTCTCTCCTTGATTAGTTTCCATCCATTGTTTCTTGTCTTCTAGTGCTTTGGAGAATAACTTGACTCCCTCTTCTTTGGGGCAGCCCCTCAAATATTGGAAGACTGCTATCACGTCAATGTTATTGTTTGTCAATGCTATCACTTGACAAAGTTATTGTCAATGTGGAAAGATAATAAATGGAGCATAGTGCAAACCTAACAACTGCAGCGATTCACAAAAGCTGTGGCAAGAAAGCGCGTAAACTGGGGCAAAACTCGCTTAGCAACTGTCTCACTTAGCAACAGAATGTTTGGGCTCAATTGTGGACGTTAAGTTGAGAATTACCTGTGCCTGAGTTCCTGGCACCTTCACTTCAAGGGATGCTGCCAAAGGCAACCCCTGACTGGCCAAAGTAGCAGTAGGGAAACATGCCACATTTTGTATAACTTGACTATTCTATCAACTCAAAGTAAAGGCAAGAAAATAAATCATTTCAAGAAACGACGTATGGCTACTCCCCCAAAGGTAAATAAAAACGGCGCTTTTAGCTTGAGATTTTAAGAATCACCTTTTTCCTGTGTCTTATCTTTGTTTCCCACATATTCGTTCAGTGACAGGGCTAAGGTAACTTCCAAGTCTCTTTGGAAAACTTTCTCATCCAGAGGAACTCTGAAACCAAAAAAACCCAAGGTTGGACATATAACTCTCCATCGTCCAGCCACTGGCCATCCCCAAATTCTACAGACCGACAACTGGAAACAACAGATGTCATTCAAGTACAGGCACAACAGAATAACTTTTACTAAACCAGCTGGTCCAATAAACTTCGGCATGCTAAATCTTTGTTAACAGAGTGAGTAATCTTTTAGCTGGTAATAAAAGGGAAGACTGCAACAGACAGAACTTTTGCAGTATTTTTTTTCACACTTTGGGAGGGCAGACAACCTAACAATTCTGTTGACGTATCCTAAAACTGCAACTCCTTTACAACTGGTGTTTGCTGTTCACGGCAAATTTGCAATCCAGCAATAACGTTATCACAAACAATGTAGTTTGGGGATATGAATGCATACATGTATATATTTATATACATTTATATCCAATACAAAAATGTGTCTGTCTGTTTGTCTATGTATCTCTATATATATCTATCTCTATATCTATCTATCTCTATATATCTATATAAACACAAATACATGTACATGTAAATGAACATATATATATATATGTGTGTGTGTGTGTGTTGTTGTATGATTTATATTTGTGTGTATTGTATGATGTTATCCATTCAGTCATGTACGTATATCTGTCTGAATATCCAATACAGAAATATGTATGTTTGTGTGTATGTATATATATATATATATACAGGAAGTTTTTCAGACAAACCAGTCTGATTGATTACACCTTGACATTTTAACTGCTATACTGCAGTTTTTTACTTTTTACAATATCTTTTGTTTATATATATATATAAACCACACACACACACACATATATACACATACATATATATATCTTAATATCCAATACAGAAATATGTATGTTTGTGTGTATGTATATATATATATATATATATATATATACAGGAAGTTTTTCAGACAAACCAGTCTGATTGATTACACCTTGACATTTTAACTGCTATACTGCAGTTTTTTACTTTTTACAGTATCTTTTGTTTATATATATATATAAACCACACACACATATATACACATACATATATATATCTTAATATCCAATACAGAAATATGTATGTGTGTTTGTGTGTGTGAGCAAACACACAAACATACATATTTCTGTATTGGATATTAAGATATATATATGTATGTGTATGTGTGTGTGTGTGTGTGTGTGTGTGTATATATATATATATATATATATATATATATATATATATATATATATATATATATATATATATATATATATATATATATATATATATATATATGACTGAATGGATAACATCATCCTACAATACACACACACACATATTTATATATAAGCCATACAAGCCTATTTATATTTATATATATGTATATGTACTTATGTTTATTGATATACACATATATTCACCTACAATATACACACAGACATATATATGTGTATATTCACACACACACACACACACACCTATATACACGCACCCCTATATACACGTATATATCCATAGGCAACACACACACACACACACCCCACACCCGCAGCCCTTCTCTCCCTCACCTCCTCCCGGCGGGCCGGGCCCTCTTCGGCGGCGCGGCGAAGTCCTCGTCTGCGGAGAGAGGTGGGCGGTTGGGGGGGTCCCGTCAGGCCGCAGCCGAGACCCCCGCCCCCCCTCGCCCTCCCGCCCGCCCCCCGACTCACCCTCGTCGCTCTCCTGGAACGGGCCCGCGGCGGCCGCCCTCCCGCTCCGGCCGCTCCTGCCGAGGAAGTGCAGCGGTCAGAGCAGGCCTGGGCCGGCCGCTCCCCTCCCACCCGCCATTAACCCTCCCTCCCGCCCCCGTTTCCCCCCGAAGCCCACCTTCGCGCCATCGCCACCACCGGCGGAAACGGAAGTAGGGGGTAGGACTTCCGCGAGTACTTCCGGCTACGGAGAGCGGGCGGGGGAATCCACCAGGCGCTGGGTCTGGTTACGTCACTCTCCTCGGCCCCGCCTCTTCACACCCGCTTGATTTCCCCNTCTAGTCCAGCCCCCTGCTCAGGCAGGAAACCCTACACCATTTCAGACAAATGGCTGTCCAGTCTCTTTTTAAAAACTTCCAGTGTTGGAGCACCCACAACTTCTGGAGGCAGGTTGTTCCACTGGTTAATTGTTCTCACTGTCAGGAAGTTTCTCCTTAGTTCTAGGTTGCTTCTCTCCTTGATGAGTTTCCATCCGTTGCTTCTTGCCCTGCCTTCGGGCACTTTGGAGAATAGCTTGACTCCCTCTTCTTTGGGGCAGCCCCTGAGATACTGGAATGCTGCTATCCTGTCCCCCCTGGTCCTTCTCTTCATTAAACTAGACAGACCCAATTCCAGCAACTGTTCCTTATATGTTTTAGCCTCCAGTCCCCTGATCATCTTTGTTGCTCTTCTCTGCACTCTTTCTAGAGTCTCAGCATCTTTTTTACTTCGTGGTGACCAAAACTGGATGCCGCATCCCAACCGTAGCCTTACCAAGGCATTGTAAAGTGGTATTAATATTTCATGTGTTCTCAATTCTATCCGTCTGCTAATGCATGACAGGCCTGGAAAAGGCACCAAAGCATTGATGATCAGACACATGTTTATTCCCATCTCAGCCAGAAATGGCCAATTTCCAATAGGGAACTTGTCGTCTGCTAGTGACCAGCAGATGAATAAACTATAGCAATATCACTTAGATTTATATACTCAACATAGCGCTTTACATTGCCAGCATATTAGCCCCTGACAATCTGGGTCCACATTTTACCGGCTTCAGAAGGATGGAAGGCTGAATCAACCTTATGCCCCGTCAGGATCGAATTCCATGCTGTGGGCAGAGTTTGCCAACAACATTGCATTTTAACCATCGGCGTCACCAGTTATGCCTATCCGATCATGTTTATAGGACGACCCACTCGGCCTTTTTTAGTGGGACATCCCAAAGAGCCAGTGGGTCAGCAGCAAGCTGGACAATCCCAGAGGATGGACCTCTGGCCAGGTTAACTGAAGCAGGAAGGGCACGAGGAACATTCGGCAACTGATCATAAAATCACCAGAATGAATGAGGACTAGAAGCATGCTGCCTCCATCTCTCTGCTGTTCTGTCCCCGTTCCGACCCACACACCCAAACAGCCAGTCGAGGGTTTAAAGACTTCTCCAGACACCACTTCACAGATAAGAAACTTGGCTGCAGCTCCGTAGCTGCCTGCCAAGACCTTTTACTCCAAACACCCAGAAACAAAAACAATATACACAGTTTAACACCACAGCACACTACTTTGCCAGAGATTCAGCTTTTGTCCGTCACAGAGGTCCAAATGGCCACCACCACCCTTTTATAGCCTGTGGGGTGTGGTCCAGTGACTCAGCTTAATCTCTGGCACGTCTCTTTTTCTGCTGCGCACGCTTATCGCTCCTACGCTGGCGTGGATCCAGCCACAACTTCTCTTCCTCATTATCCGAAACACCCGGCTCCTGGTCAATCTCTTCTCCGTCGGGAGACACCTGAGGCATTGCCAAAGAGGAGGGTCCTGGAGAGGGAGGCCTGGCCATCTCCTCTCCTTCATGTTCGGAGCCTTCTTCCTCCGATAAGAGGGGCTCACAAGACGGAGCCACAACACCTGCCTACGAGGGCTATAGGCTGAGCAAGATGCCTCCACTTTGGCCTCTAGACTTCCTATACTAGAGGCTACTGAGGTTGTGTAAGAAGCGTTGTGTCCTTCAGGGGTTCAGCCTCGTGGCCACCCGTCTCTATTTCGGTGGTTGTTTGAGCCAAGAGTGTGGGTCAAGGATTCAGCAGCACACTTTGATGGCTCCCTCTGTTTCACAGCCAGGGTTGTGACCTTAGAAGTGGCTAAGAAGTGGTTTAAGCTCAATTGTTAAGTTAAATTGTTCTTCGCCATCGTTCCGTTCTTTCCTCTGCACAATTTGATTGGCAAGAAACAGCACTTGCTCTCAATATTCCTATGTAAGTCAACTTAGGGGGGGGAAAAAAACCCAATCCATTTCCTGTTATGATACCTCAGTAAATACTTCAAAATGTAAATGTTCCAAGAGATTATATTTTTTCCTGCCCCGGATTACCTTTGGAGATTTATCTTCTGTCTTCTGTCCTTTGCCAAGAGGGTTTATTTTTATTTGTGACGTAGCCAAGAATGTCCCGCAAACTCGTCTTGCCCAGATACTGCATCCTCTTACGTCCAGAAAGTCCTTTTATGGCATCAGCTGTTGATCTCACTGGTTGCAAAATGTGTCTTTTTTTTTTTTCTTCCTCCATCAGGATCTTCGTTTTTTTTCCGAGGGGGAACGAATGTCTGTTTCCTTTTTGCCACTCACAGATTGAAACGCCCACTTAGCATGTGAGCAAGAGGACATGTAGGCAGGTAAATTATAATGGGAATCCCACATTCCTTCCGCTAAGTCTGAAAAAAAAATATACATACTGCGTCTGTATTGGGCCGTCCAGCTTTCTTCGGTCTGATTCATAC